TTACACGCTCTTTTATGCGCAACTCGGAATTAGCGTAGATGTCGCGGCCGCTCAGGAAAATTGTTTTCGTGATGATATCTTACGTTCTTTCACGATAGGAAATGTCGTTTTTAATGTGCCTGACAATGCCCCACAGGCCCACCGCAGTGGGACGAACAAGCATTCTAGGTGGAATTAATTTCAGAATTTATTTTAAATCGTAATTATTGTATGACTTAATGTTATTTGAAAGAAAAAATTTTTAAGAAGTGGTACTGAACCTAAATCTTGGTATTAAAGAGGTATCTAAAGAGGTACCTAAATCTTGGTATTTTTTCCATTAAAAAAAGATTGGATGTAGGCCCGGGGCACACGAATGTTCGTTGAAAAAGATCTGTCATGCCATCCAGTTACTGCCACGCAAAAAGAGGCAAGCAATTAAAAGATAAGTGTTAAGTAAAGAGGAGACGTTGTCTATGATTAATAAGTGAACACCAAATAAGCACGAAAACCTGGCCTTTGACTTTTTCGGGAGAAGCTGGGACTTTTCCTGGCCGAAGGGCATTCTTAGCAGAGCAGTTGCCCTGAGCGCGTTGCAAGCATTTTACGCTAAACCCATCTTTCTTGCATAAATCTGTATTTGAGTTCCTTTTCTGTTATTATTCCGTATTCGTATAATGTTTAATGTAATTTACTCTTACATAAGCAAGGTGCTTTAGATGATGGTCACACCCTTGGTGAGTGCATCAAGAAGCAGTTTGACTGGTGTGAGCAATGCTCAGCCATAATTAGCAGATGGCAATCAGGAGAGTGGATGTGATTCTTACTTCTTGCAGATCTTCAATCATTCAGTCGCTAAATCTTGGTATAAGTACAATCCCGCAATAAAATACTTCGGAGACCCGACAGTCATGCTAGACGATAAATCCAGTAGAACGTATGAATCCGGCGTACAATGTGTCAGCAAAAGCTATATCGAACAATAAAAGTAAAAATAATTATTCAATACTATGAATAATTTATTTTGTCTGCGTCGAATAATGCTAGATGATTCTTATTACTTTGTTTTCAAATAAAACTTATTGCAAACGAAAAATCCACGACAGGTTGCTATTTTTTCGTACTTTTAATTGAAACAGAATGAATTGTGACGAATACGATATAAGTACAAAGAAATGTTCATAAAACTATAGAACAAATTTGAGCTGTTTCAAGCTATGAAATTAGTGAGTTTTCAGTTTGTAATTAATAGATTATTAAGAAAACGATTCTTTTATTTCGTTAAGTAATTTGCTCTGTTACTTTTTCTGAAAGTTAGCAGACCTTCAGAGGTCCGTGGACCACTGTATGATAAACATCGTTCCATTGTATGAATTTTATTTTATTTTCTGAAAAAGTACTCGTTCAGTTATTATATGGATAAATAAATAACACCTGAGTTAAACGATAAGTGTCGGAATTTGTGAAGCCATTGAATGTTCTAGATTACATAAAACTTTCTCAGTGAACTTCACAAGAATTCTTTTTCTTCGCTTATGTTAGACATACATATCGTATATTACTGTATATACATGGTGTCTGCTAAGTGTATGCAGAATACGTTTGCTATTGTTCTAGACGAGTCAAGAAATGTTATTCTCAAGGTCACTATCCCCACCGTTTGGCCACATCTTATTTATGTTAATCATATGCATTATAGTGCACATGTTCCTGAGCTTTTTAAACGCTACCAGGGCATACAATACGTGAGTTAAATATTAACACTTTATCTACCGGACTATTTAGAAGCAGACTTTAATTAAAAAAAGAATTGTTTGCAGTAGCATATGCCAATCTAGCCTGACAATAATTCCTTCATACTGTTACCAAGCACTGAACATTGTAAGTAGACAACCATCGACACAGTAAATAAATTCGAATAACTAAATACTGCAATTAAAAAGCCTATAAATAGGCTCCCGGTAAATAAAGTGTTAAAACAATAGATCCAGAACAAGTTTTGCTAATTTTGCTCCAACAAATTTAGTAAATAACTTAGTAGACCCCCAAATGACCGTCAAAATTTGGTGTGTTACATGTTTAAATATACTTTCCTTGATCAAGAATTGTTCCACATTGTTTTTCAATTCTTGATTTTTGGAAGCAGGCTCATAACGACAGATGGTGAAGCGTTTGAGTGCCCTTTACTATTTATATGTATACACACGCAGGGAGGTTGCTTACTTTTAGCCAATTTTGCGAAGACTGAACGCGAGAGTGCGTCCTTGTGTATAAATTCCACGACACACATCGTTCTCCTACACCTTAAAATTACTATAAAAGTATACCTAACGTTCATTCGATAGTTATATTTAAAGACTTGCAACAAAAAAATAATTGTAAAAAGAAGTTCAAAATGTATCGGGTCTGGTGTCATCTGGGTGAATCGATTGGCTTGTTAATTTTAGTATTAAAATAATGTGACACATTTTGCAGTGTCCCGCTCGCAATGTCGACAAAAGGTGTTGGCTTACAATTAGATCAAGAATTATCCGCTGTTAACGGTTTAGTTTAACGCATGGAAGGCAATACCACGGTTGTGGGACATTCCTTTTCAGTAAGCTTTATCGGATGCTCTCTCTGACCAAAAGGAAAGGTATACGCAGGTATACCCCGAAAGTCAAACAGTTTTGAGTGACATAGACACCATTCGTTTGTTTCATCGAGATTCAGAACGTCTATCTCACATGGACACGTTGTTCAAGTTGCCAAGGTCTGTTGGCTATGTGAATAATCTGTAAACTTTTTCGAATAACCATCAGAAATATGTTCCTGTTGTCCAATAAAATACCTGGATAAATAATGACATAATAATACATGCCGCTGGCCGGATTTACGACACTTTAACATTTCCAAACCCTTTTGCTCGTGGGTGCCACGCGGACAACCTGCATTGAATTCTGACGATATCGTACTCGATGGCTAGAATAAAGATAGTCTGGATCGTGACGGTAAGGCACTTACAATATTTTTCAAGGTATCAAGAATCGCCCAGCCATGGATATTCAGTACACTTAACCCAAAGACGGAAAGAGGATCGCTAATCGCAGTAAGCGTGTACACTGATTTAATTGCGTAGGGCCGGCGTGACCTTTTGCGGTGTCCTAAATGCTGTTACATATTATATATTTTTGATAAGATGAATATTAAATAATAACACTTTGATGATTTTTGTCATTCCTGCAAACTGAATCGTCGTTACTATAAAAAAATGTCTTGCATCTGTTGCAATGGTATCATCGTTCTGTAAAAAGTTAATCACAATCGGTGCCTTTTAATTGGATAATTTTCGTGAACCGGAGGGCCTCATAAACCCGAACCTTGCGCCAGCCATGGAATTGCGTACTTTGAAGTCGAAGAAGTGAATAAAATTGCTGAAGATGATATGTAAGCATTAAAGACGACGATAAACGTTTGCTTGCCTATACGGTTAAAGCCATTAGAGTGGACCATCGGCTGTGTCGTTTCGTATCGAAAACCCTGACATAACTCGCGTGATAGATATCCGTTTCGAAGTGTAGCAGAGGTGGATAAAGCGACGATCTCCATTGAGAGGAGTATTTCCAAGGCGTTTGTATAGCATTCATGTGCAAACTGAAACGCTTATTTGGTGTAATGATGACGCACGGATACGATACAGTTCTGCAAGCTATTGAGCATCATACGTTATGCAGATGACATATTGGTACTTGTCATCGAAAAGGAGTGAGAGAGAACCATCTTCCTTTGCAAAATCTTGTTGGCAAGATCTTGAAGATGAGGCTGGCAGCGAGTTTCCATAAAACCGAGGTTAATAGGATTATTATTCTTCTCGGTGAAAGCCACCCCCAGCCACGACCCGAGTAGGCGAGGTTTAAGCAAGGATGAGGTTGTGGATGAAATGTTTGGACTCTGGATTTGATAGCCACTGGCGCTTCTGGGTACTTTCTGACAGTGATGGACAAACCCTAGGCTTCGAATAAATCTGAAGTTTGCCGATATATTTGTCTCGTTTCTTCTGTTGAACATTGAGGGTGGGGATCGTTTTCTGATTATTCGAGAATCAGGAGAGAACGGCTGGATTTACCGCCGGTCGCCTTCCAGGGAATGGACGGTAGAGTCACCCGGACGCCTCGACGCGATATACTTTTCTGTTATTGTAAAATTGAGCCGAAAGCTTTGTTTTCCGAACAAACCTGTATTTCCTATTCCTCTCCCAGGAAAGCAATATGTACAACTGGTTAACAAATAAACCATTTCTTTTTTCCCTTAGAACCTGTTTCCAAATTCCTTTCCTGCGAACCTACATCCCTTACAGAAGTTAATAAACTAAAATTTCACACAAAACTTTTTGAGAAATTGATCGGTGTACGAATACATTCTACGCCCACTGTATGCTCCGGAAGAAGCCATAGAGAGGAAACGACGTATTATTGTTGGAGAAATAATTTCAGAGGTTGGTGTTGCTTTTTTTTAGCAAAGGTGACAACACCGAAACAAAAGAATCTGTGCGAGTGTGAATGTATCCGGTTCACATCTTGTATGAATGGTAGAGCGAACGAACGTATATTTTTTGGTTAAGAGTAAAAACTGTAAAACGTGGTTTGAGAACCTATTTCATATAAAAAAAAACATCGTGCATAATAATTGCAGACATCGAGTGTAATTTCAGTGTATCAAATTAATTACAAAACAGAATATATTTTCTTTATATTATTTTCAACAAAAGCTAAATAACTGCGCAGGTTCTTATTTTCTTTCTTCAATAAACCTCAACAATTATGGGCCGAGTTGGATAACTAGCGCCGGTTTGGGAAAGTCGATTTATATACACTTTGCCTCCTATTCTAAGGGCCTCTACCTGTGCCCGAGACCCGCACTAGACCCTACCAGAAGGTGATGGGTTCGTAAAACGACGAACGGGAGTTAAATAACTGATTACTTATTTGTACCGGTTACCATTGGTAGGATCTTATTCTTATTCTAACCGTCAAGAACCGGCCAAAAACGAGAAAGGAGAAACTAGCCCTCTCTATTATCATATTTCATTGAGGCAAGTACTTGGAGCCCCCGTAAAACTCTAGTCATGTGCAATTGCAAGGAGTGTTGCTCTCGGATTCAATGTTACTAATGCATAAGACAACAACAAGGTACCGAACCCAATATACGCTCTGCTTGTTACATCAAACCCGTAGCTCGAGTCCATTTGAGATTGTTTGTCCTCCATCATTGTCCTAACGACCGATAACCGCAACAGTGTTAGGAGAATGCCCGTTTCTCCGCTGCTTTACACTCACAATAGGCCGTAGACGATCGTTTGGTGGTGCTTGCTATTTGTATTAATGTGTTAAGCTTTCTTTTCGGTTTTCTTCGGCAACAAAACGGCTTGTAGGTTCGGTAATATACCACCTTGAGCAACGCTTACGCCAGCAAGCAATTTGTTCAATTTCTCGTCATTACGGATGGCAAGTTCTGATGCCTCGGAATGATTCTGGTTTTCTTGTCATCACGAACTGCATTTTCAGCCAATTCAGCCACTTGGACCAACACGATCAGCGTAATTTATCAACTCTCTTAAAACGTAAACTTGACCTTTCCGTGCCTCTTTCGCGTTTACTACATTCAGATGTTCTTAGTAAATTGGAGAAGTAAATTTCAAACGAATGCTACGGTATACTTCACGAAAACATCATTGCACACAGCCCGAGAGTTCTCGTCCCGTCGTCAAGATGAAGGAGAGCTATAGAACGGAAATGGTTGTTAACCCTTTGCGCTCGAGGCATTTTTCTATAGAATCAAATCCAGTCCATTTTTATAATAAATTTCTGTGAAACCAAAAACTCTACTTCGAAGAAAAACATCTACGAACGCTCATGCCTCAATGTATTATTATTTCAATTAATAATCAGTTGTATTCTGATGTATGTGAATTTCAAATTGTACGTTCACAAAATCGCTCTTAAATTACATATGTCGCCCTACAGGCGCCACCCGAGCGCAAAGGGTTAAACCACTGGATTGGCGCAGGTGTGCGAGGGAAAACACTGAACAACGTATCATTGACGTTTCCAGGGACACGATAAAGATTTTAGTGGTTAGGCAGTGCACAGAATCCCACGCTATCCCCGGCTTTATCCCAAAACATCAGTGATTCTTCCAAGGATTTTCTCTACGACAAAAAATCAGCCCTTATTATGTATATCGCCGTTCTAAAATGATTACAATACATCTAGTTAAATAAGCATTGCGTTAAATTTTATCATTTTCTGAACACATTGTACACCGAGTAAATATCAACCGCTGAAAGACTGAGTACCGGCACTAGCTTTAGATGTTTAAAAGCAGATGAAATAAAATATACAAATTTTGTCCGTTTGTATCTTGTTTCTTTAAGGAGTAGAACAAATGCAGAAAAAAACAAACAAACGACAACAGTTACATACATACCAACGCATAAAACCTGTATACATTTAGAACGATAGACTGGAAATTCCGCGACAGCGAAGGTCGGCGTACAATGTGTTAAGGAAAACACGAAGGAACAGCGGAAACAAAAATGATTCTTATATTCATTTGTAAGTACTTGTTTCATCGAAACTGTTCATTCGGAACGTTCGGACGTGTCTTTGATAGACACATAAACTAGTGCGCGCTAAATTTCAATTGCGGAGACTGTAAATGATCCGTTGGCGTTCAATTTATGTATCCGGCATGTAAAATGCTCTTAGAAGTTTACCGAGATGATCAAGGTATACGAATCGATGGATTCTTCAAACTGAAGAAACATACAAATTAATAAGCTCGGCTTCTGATCGCGAATTTGAGTGGTTGTCCGACCTTGTCTGTTCGTGTTTCTTTATATTTGTATAATAAATTCGAGGTTAAGTTGATAAGCTGCCTCTGTTTTCATGTATACAATACATGTACATTGTTTAATAGTAACGATAATAATAATAATAATTACTTTAGTATGGACAAAATAATTGAACCGCGTGTACCTTTCAGAGGTACTCGTCTCAGCTGCCAACGATAGCGGGGGAAGTGACCTAGAGTAGTCAATATTTCCTGTCTCTCGATATAGTTATTCTTAGAAATCAATATTACCTATTACGTTTCCCGAACGATCTTCGCGTCAAGGTGATTAGACGATTTTTCCGGCGGGAAGGAGACACGCCTTGTCTCGCGAACCGATTTTCTTTCCACCACGCTTTTCTTTTGTGCATCGCGTATAACCACGACGAAGTGGAAAGGAGGCAGGAACGAAGGAATTTCCACGTCGCCTCGTCGACGCGTAGCCACCTAATCGCGGAGTGACGCGAACGAGCATCCAAAGGTCCGGCGATCCGCGTTTCCGGACGCTTCCACGGTTCTCGTAACCGTCACCATTACGTAACCTAGGCTTAAAAAGTAAAAGAGAGGCCAGCAAGTCGGTCGCTGGGCCGAAGTGAATCGGTTCAACGCATTAACGCTTTGATTCGTTTTGTCAGTCTGTGCTCTCCTAGTCCATGACAAGTTAAAAAAAAGAAAAGAAGAGAAAAGAAGAAAGAAAAACAGGAAAAGAAACAAACGGAGATACAAAGTAAACAGAAGAGTATGTAGATGTCCGGGTCGTCGGGGAAAAATACGGTATCGTTTTTTTTTTGTGGGAAGAGGGGGCTCGATTCGCAGGCAGACCGGTGTCCGTATCGGAGTTGGGCAGCGATTACTTCGTGATTACTTTCGTGATAATCACTCGTGATTGACGGATCAATCGGTAATCGTAAACTACATTTGCAATCTGCAATTATAAATCAGTACTTTGTAATATTGCAAAGCAAATCGTGCCTGATCATTCGTTAACCCTTCGAGTGCTGTGGTCGCAAATATGCGTCCAATGAAAGCTATCAGTGTGGGCTATGGACGCATACATACGTTTGTTAACCTTTTTGATCTCCCGCATGCTCGAGACACAATTATGTTGTTTAAAATATAAATATAAACTTTTCCATACTTTCAGTTATATTTATTACGTTAAAATATTTAAATTCGTCAATATATTTTCAAGTTAAAATTTATATTACATTTTAATATGATTAATAAAATAATGAATGTTTAAAAATAAGTATTTCGTGTGATTTAATTTGGCTTAAAAGAATTACAATTATAACGTAGTTACACATTGTACATTCAATTGACAGAGTTCACGATAGGAAAAATGTATTTCCTCCTCAGCACTCAAAGTATTAACAATCGATCACAATTCCCGATTACGCGGTAAACGTAATCGTGGATTAAATTTTACCCAACGCTGGTTTGTGCCTGTCCGCGAATCACCGTAAAATGCATCATCTGAAACGTGCCACCGCCTAAACGCCAGCAGCAACTAAACGCGAGTTTTCGAGGGCGATGTACGCTTCGAATAGCGTACCTGTCCTCTCGTATCTCTCTTTTGAGAAGTCTTCGCTTCTATTTTGGTTAAGTATGTTGTTCGCGATTCGCGTGCTTTCGCGAAAGGAAAGAAACCCATCAGGTGGCGCTTACCATCGCACGTGTGATCTTGAACAGAACGCGGCCAGCAAACGATCTTGTTCCCCTTCTTTCTGGAGATACGGTGTACAATGTATTCTAACGAACGACGGTATCTACGGTTTCACGACGAGATTCAAAAAAGTCTGCGATTCCTACGACGCTCTCGTGTCCTCTGCGTCTATATTTTTTTGCATTTTCTGTTTCTTTATATTAATAACATTATAACAGGCAGTGTTCGTTGAGAAACTGCTACAGAAACAAACGCACACACGCACCCACGCACACATACATACGCTCATGTGAATCATCGATTGGTAGACTGCGGATTTTATGCATTTATGACATGTTAACATGAAAAACACCTGCAAAATGAATATAGAATGTACGTTAACCTCGATTATAACACGAGTCTTTATCGCGCGCTACAGATATTGCGATGATTTATAGTGTGTTGTATATTTGGATGCGTAAATTTCACGTTTTTCCAATTTATTTTGTTATCTAAATCGCTACCAATTTTTGTTTATTTTGTTCTTTGTCACGGTCACGTGTTAAATTATTTGCTTATACGAGGAAAATTCTCGTATAACACGATTTCCTATAACGTGATTTCATAGAACCCGTAACGTATGAACTGTGTTACAAGGAAGTCTATTTAAAAAAGGACTCTATTTCAGAAAGTAACAGTACTATGAATGTTTCATTTAGTATAAGTGCATATATTCCGGAGACGACATTTGGCATATATTTTCCATAAGATTAAATGTCATGAATGCATAAAGCAGTCTATCGATTGGAAACCGAGTGGCTACGTTAACGCGAAAGACGTTCGAATGGGATCAACATTCCCCGGTGTTCGAAAAGTCTGACGTTGGACGTGATTACGCGACGCCCATCGTCGTTCGGAACGGATCGCTGCGTTTCTCTTCGATAGTAGCGTCTATAGCAGAAGAGAGGATGCATTGACTAAAAAAATATATGTGTGTGTGTGTGTGTATATATATATACATATGGTTGTCGTTTTTCCATTATTCATTTGTTTACGCATCGGGTGGAACATCCAACCGCGAGAAATACGGGCTGGTCCGATAGACGTCGGCCCGTTTTAGGAGCGGAGCGTTTATGAGACGCGTGCACGACACTCGGCTATGCATGTTTTAGTCGCGGTGTGTCGGTATATAACGAGTGACCGAGAAGAGTAAGCGATCCCCAGAGCGAGTGCCTGGAATTTCTTTCCTTCGCGAAACTTCGTTTCGACGCACGTAGCGAGGCGAACAATTACGACAGCGATTACGCGCGCTATCGATAAACAACGTGTGAGTCTTTCCGAGTAGAAACGATAAACGACCGCGAAACAGTGTTCAACAGCGGCGTATATAGGTACCGGGCTAGTGGTAGAGTAGCAGCGATAATAGTAGTTGATTGCAGTAGCGGCTGTGTCTGTGTATATGTGTGTACGTGTTTGTATGTATGCGCGCGTGTATCTGTACCGTGTGAATGACTGTGATGTACTGTACTCGTTGAGTGTGTAGCTCGAACAGATTTCACGAAGGATTTCGTGATTATTCACGACGAGGCTCGTTCTCTTACTGTTGACGACGCAGGCGGCCAGCCGGAGTCTCGGCCTGGCGAACCAGAGAAGAGAAGAAGGTCCCACAATCGCCGCAACACAGCGATCACCAAAACAATGTCCACCGTTAGCGTGGTACGTCGGACGATTTACATCAGAGTCACTTGAATGCGGAATCACAGAACGACGCAGCACCGGCAGTATCGTTGCCGAGACGCGCCCGCACTCGGCGGGGGTGTTACGGGTGCGAAGTACGCGTGGACCTTGATGTTGGGCAAATGTGTCTGAAACAAATTAAAGGATGCATCGTTAATTCTTTTTGATTTAGTTTTTATTATTAATTTGAGACGCGACGATTTGCGAGAAAATACTGAAGGGAGCTTCGTGGAAAGCACCACAGGACAGAGCAGTCAAACATCCCCAACGTTGTGGAACGCTTATACCGAACAAGTAGAAGGAGCAAAACTGGAGCTCGAGGCATGGGAACTTTTGAGGTGATATAACACAGTCTTCCAGGCGAAAATGGTCGTCATAGGAACTTGTGAAAAGAATATGGTAATACTGGGAAATATACCGAAGGCAAATTAAATACACATACATATATACAGTGGGTGTAGAATGTATTCGTACACCGATCAATTTACAAAAAAACTTTTGTGTGAAATTGTAGTCTTTTAACTTTTTTTTATAAGATTACTTTTTTATAAGAATACTTTTTTGGAAGACGCCGAAAAACTTTGTTTTTTTGGAAAACCAACCCCCAAGTTTAAGCCGGTCTACAGGGTGAACGAGTAACCCCACGTCAACGCTGTTCGCGAAGTCAGACGCCCAAGTGCTTCATTATCAAGTCCCCAAAAAATCTCTGTATCCGATATAAGCAGAAATTAAGTCTACACTAATTCATATATTTTAAGTAAATCGAATCATTGATATTTATCTTGTGATGGTCAACAAATAGATATGAAAGGCAATTTTTATGCAACACTTGTAAAGTTCAAATATTGGGTTTCCAATACTTGAGTCAAATTGTTGTTTACACACTACTATCAATTATTAATTTAAGCTGTAAAATGTTCTATTATGACTGTGTACTCACTCTGTCCGATTGGCCTACCTGCTTTAAGCCACCTTCCAGGTAAAACCGGTTCGTGTAGTGTTTTTACTGTTAATTATTATTTCTAGTTTATGTTAATAAATGTAATTTCTTTTTTTGCGTTTTGAAAAGTTAACACATTAAGGACCGCACATCTAGAGACTGCGTGTAGAAAACACGAGAAAACTCGTGAGCGGTCCTTAATGTGTTAAATAGATAATAAATGCGGAAGAAAAATTGAAACTCTTATTTTTTATCAATACGTGCTTTGTTTTACTGTTTAAAGTTAAGGTACCCACTTTGTGCGGGTCTCTCCTATAGGCGATGGAGGGAATCTCACGCAATTGCCAGCCTTTTCCAAAAGGTCGGAGATGCCTTTCAAAAATTTCTTCCACCAAAAAAAAACATATTAGGAGTAACGGTTCTGCCGTCAGTTAAATCGATCGTATACTCCACCGCAAAAAAACGTTAAGGGAAGCCTGAACATTTGGACTAGCGTGGACCCCTAGATGCGCCTGTTTTGCTTCTCACCGTGATTTCTCCGATTCTATTAGTCACAACTCAACAAAATTAAGCTCATTATTTTTGCTATTCTTTAAGCTTTAATTTAAGCTTAGTTGCACCAAATAAATGTTAACTTTTACGCTCATCGTGGCTTCGTAAAACTATCGAAAATGGATACAAAAATCACTGTTTTTTGCACAAAATGTACCTTTTCTGAAAACCCATTTAAAATAGGCTTTTCAAATTTTGCATATAGATTAATACAATATTTGAGCACATTTCAGTCGTTTTATTTTCTTGCCTAAAGTTGAAAAAAAATATGAACAATCATATGCCCATGACAAACAAGGCCAATTTTTAGTACTTTCGTTTGTTTACAACTGTAATTAAACTAATCAGATTTTCAATTTGAAACTCCACCAAGTTGTATTTTAAACATTGATAAACAAATTCAAAAAATAAAAATGACGATCTGACAAGTGGTTTTTCAGAAAAGGTATCCTATGTGTAAAAAAAACAATGATTTTGATACCCTTTTTTCGGTATCTTTCCAAAGCCACCACGGGCGTCAAAGTTAACATTTCCTCGTGCAACTATGCTTAAATTAAAGCTTAAAGAATAACAAAAATAGTGAGCTTAATTATAGCAAGTTGTGACTAATAGAATCGGAGAAATTACGGTGAGAAGCAAAACAGGCGCATCTAGGGGTCCACGCTAGTCCAAACGTTCAGGCTTCCGTTAATAATTAGGAACTAAGGAGACAGTACTCTGAGTCTACGTATGCCAGCTCTGGTGATCAGTTGACAGTCGTACAGCTCGATGCGTTCGAGATTGTGGCAGGCCTGTAGAAGGTGATCGAGGCTGGCATCTGTGATAAGGGGGCAGTTGTCCAGTTCCAGCACCGCCAGATGTTCCGCCGCACACGGCGAGAGAGCCAACTGCCGGATGCCTTCATCGGTGATCAGCTCACAGTGCGATAGACTCTATTTAAAAAAAAGAAACATCAGTTCATGAAATTAGTTTCCATATTTCTATGATCTATGGATACAACATACGCTTCCCTTGTACAAGAGCGGATCAAATATAAACGAGACTTTATTTTTTAAATATTTTGATTCAGTGTAATAAAATATCCAAGCACGTATCACTTTTCAACATAATCTCCTGCTTTGGAAATGCATTTTTCCCAGCGGATTGGAACGTTTTTAATCCCAGTATCGTAACGTAAACGAAGAATGTTGCGTTAGGAGCCAATTGAGTACAAAGGCCTCCACCGCCGAATCGTCTAGGAACCGTTGTCCCCCTAGTGCTTCTAAGTAAGTGGCCCAAAGAGATGGAAATCGCAGGACGATAGGTAAGGGCTGTAGTGAGGATGGTCAAGTGGAGTCCATCTCGTTTCCTCTAATGTTTTGCAAGTTAGAGCTGCAGTATGGGGCCGAACGTTGCCGTGGAGGAGAATGACGTCTCGAATCGATTGGTCACGTTTTTTGGAACGATAAGCAACCTTTACCTCCCTTAAAAGCTCACAGCTCCCATAACTTATTTCAACCTGCGCTGTAATTTCAGAAAGTGTCAGACGTCGATCGCTTTCAAGAAGGATTCGAATCGTGCGAATGTTCTCCTCCGTAATGCTGCTTCGAGGACGGCGATCATGTTTCACATTTTCGACTTGTTTACGTCCTTCCTTGAATTCCTTATGCCAGGCAAACACGCGAGCCCTTGATAGTGTTTGGTCCCCAAACTGTACCATCAATCTTTGCAAAATTTCAGCTGGTTTGACGCCTTCATGGGTAAGAAATTTAATAATTATGCGTTGCGCAACTGAGACGTGCACTTGTTGCTCCGACATCGTAAATGTAACTTGTCCGAACTCAACAATGCCATGCTCTCCCCACTCCTGACATCCTAAACAATACACTGTAGAAGCGGTCACACGCTCCCTTTAAGTTTACGCGATCAGAAACAAAGAGTCTCGTTTATATTTGATCGACCCTCGTAAGTTGTGACCACAAATAGCAACTACACATTTACTGTTATTATAAGAAATACAAATCGCTTTGAACGTAAAAACATTGACGAATCAGCTTACCAGTTTCTCCAATCTCGGACAGCCCATGGCCAGGTGAATGAGGGTGGCGTCTGTTATTAAAAGGCACTCTTCCAAGTCCATCTTCTCGAGTAGTCTGCAATTCTGAAAATCGAAGGCGAGATGTTGAACAAACGATGCTGTTTAAATCGTGGCGTTTGTCAAGGACTCTGAACAGAGAACTTACTTTCGCGAGAGCCTGAAAACCTGCGTCGGTGAAGTGTGTGCAGGCGACGCACTCGAGGACACTGAGGAGTGGACAATGTTGCGCCAGCGTGACCAGGGATGCGTCCGTCAGATTAGGACAATTCGACAGGCAGACGTAATGCAGTCGCGGACACTGTTCGCTCAGTTCTCTGACTGCGTCGTCCGTTATATTCTACAATCAATCTCGTTTTTTTTTTTAACCTTTCCTATACGCAGATGGTTCGTACAGATTCAACGTTGCGATTAACCCTTTGCGCTCGACGAAATTTTCCGAATATTTAACGAACTTCTTACAGTTCACGTAAAATAATTCAATACATTAATTACCACGTCAAGTGCCACGTAGGGACTAGTGCTTAACTTCTTGTTTATAACGTTTCGTGTATATTCTGTTACAAATTTAAACTACACTAGCGGACAAACAAACCGGAACGATTTTTCAAATGCTCATAACTATGAGAGTTTTCAACCGATTTCGGTGAAACTTTGTGACGAATAGTCTTCGAGTGTCTTCTGGGTGTGTGCAAAGTTGCATTGGCGAGCGTTGATGTGAAGGGGTTAATTCACGCCCCTAAAGGGGAGTGTGTAGAAAAACGCCTCTTTAAAACAGGCCAGGGATGACGGAAGGGGTTGAAAAATTCAAAAAAACTTTTGGGGCGACTCTCCTTGATGCCCTCTACAAAATGCACTCCTTGAATTCCCTCTCTGACAAACCCACCTCCTACCCCCTCTAAAATCCACAATTTTTTGACGACGGTCTCAATTTTGGGCTCAATGCATTCTCTGGACTCTCCTGATCCAGAAAATGCTATCACCCATACCGTGCACCCCATAGGCACCCTTTGGGTGGGTGGAACAACTCGCAAATTTTCAACCCCCTTCGTAACGGAGCACTTCCACACATCGGAGGGCGACGAAATTCACCATGTTTGTTCTCGATACATTAAGGATGAATGCCGAAAAGGTCCCGTTTCGAAAACTGCCCCCCGAGCTGAAGGGTGGGGGGCAGAGGTAGGGGTGGTCCACCCCTAAGTGTAAGGGTTGGAACGTTGTTTTGTTGCGTGAATTACATGTTCAACAGTCCAGTGCATCGATGCGACACAGTTTTGATGTCTTTTTTCCGCGTGAATGGCAATAAAATACAAAAATGTCGATTTTTTTAAAAACTCGCTTCCAACATCGGGCCATCTGTGGTATGAACGAGTAACCCCACGTCAACACTGTTCGTGGATTCGGACGCGCGAATACTTTATTAACAGATCCCCAAAAAATCAGATATTTTTAGTCACGCTTTCGTTGTCAAATCGGAGCAGATTTGAAAGAGTAGTAAGTGGGCCGGCATTCAGAAGCGGAGCGAGGGCCTGCACCCGTACGTGGTCAGACCAGGCCGGACTCTAATTTAACGTATGAGAATCATATTTGCATATATCAAATTTCAAGTGCCTTTGATAATATCAACGCTAATTATGAAGCATTTCTCGGTAACATGTAGTTTGGTATGAAATGTTTTTCTATATGTGGTGGCGTAGAGATCTAGAAAATAATTTGGTTTTTTTTAAATGGTAGGAGCAATTTTTCATAATCGTTTTCGGTAGGATATCGTACTCTGAATACGTAGGAGCCACAAACTAATATTAACATCGATAGTTCCAACTTCGACAAATTCTAACGTAAACAAAAACTGTCGCTACTCGAATTGTAGCATAAAACCTAATGACGACTAACGATTACCTCCTTACTAGGTATATTCTACATCACTTCTGACGAATCTTAAGCAAATACAGCGACGAACAAAAGCACCGATATATCCAATAATTTTACATAAATTAAACGTATCTGTAAGATATGGAAAGGTATGTTTTCTTTTAGATACAGTGATGAATAGAAGCATTGACACGTTCATTCCTTTTTCATACACTAAACGTACCTATGCATAAAATTGGAAAATGTATGTTTTTTTTTCTGACCGAGATCTTTGTGCTAAAGTAATCGTTATATTACGGTGTTAATGTATTAAAGTTGAATGGAAATAAATGTATACTGAATGTATGCACTTACACAAAATGGAATATTAATATTACGATATTATGCAATAGATTCCGTGTTCTATACGTAGTTTTGATACTACTACATACCATAAATGCGTAAAATCCACACAGTTTAGTAATCACAGGCAAAACGTATACTTGAAGGCTTACGTTTGCATAATGTAAAGGCTCATTTACTTTGAACTCCCTTAAATTAAATATACCAGAATGCAAGAATAGAGATATGCAGTCGAAAACAATACATATAGGTAAAATTATAATAAAATGAAATGCATGGGAAAAAATATAAAAACGTACAAGGAACGCATCTAGATTTATTTTTCTAGGTTCGCAAAGATATTATTTTCCATAAAAACCCGTAGTCTATTCATTACTATATTTTTACCGACGTATACTCTAGACTTTTTCATCGAGGAAGAATCGATAAAGAGGCTAATAACGCGTCTTTCGGTCACCAAATATCCATTGCACCTTCCAATTAGAACTACCGTATGGATCGATTCATTGAACCGACACACGTGCTCGCGATATTGAAAGTTGGAGAGTTGTAAGGGGTTGAGTTAGCATTGATGTTAGCCGAGCTAGTGACGGGATATCGAAAGGCAAACGTCGTAGCAGTGTCCGCGATGCTGAAGACAAATATTGTGACAGACTCTGGCGTTCATCGCGGCGCTTAACCTGTTAACTCTTTGCACTGGTGTGTTTACCCTCTATCACCGAGTTGGATTACTATCTCGCTGAACCGTCCGAACTATGACGTAATCGTCAATTGAACATCCGACCTTGAACTTCAACATTTTAATCAAACACCAAGGAAGAGGTGACGTGAACCATTCCTTTTCTGTCGTATCATATATTTGACATCATCACAGACTGAATAAGCTGTATTAGTAGTACATACTATTAGATTATACTATTAGATAGCAATACACCTAGACCAAAGTATAACAATGTCAACATTTTATCTATTAGAAGCCTATTGATAGGTATTTTAATTTAATCCTACTGAAACCTATTAAATCTTTACTCTCCTTATATTTTTTGTGGCTATAGATAATCAACTCTAAGCACTTTTAGGTAATACAAGTAAATTACAATTCTTTGAGAAAAGTACTCTAGTTATTCGGATAAAGTGGTAAAAAACGGAAGTAGGTCAAATGTCATTTTAAGCTTTTAAGATGCTACGTAGCCCTACCAGATGCAAGAAGATTCAATCCGATTGGTCAATTCGTGTCGGAATAAGAAGCAATACAAAATTTTTCGGTTTTTTTGCGAAAAAAAAGAACGGGTAAAAAATGAGAAATCCCAAAATTTGTTGATATCGGGACCACCCAGGAGACATGCTCTACAAGATGCAACAGGTTTCATTCCGATTGGTCAAAAAAATAAAAAAAAATATATACATGTCGAATTGAGTAACTTCTTCCTTTTCGAAGTCGGTTAAAAATAATTGTGTATCGAGGAAAATTGATATATAAACTTAAGTAATATTCGATATCATTTTTTTCGTAACGAAAAGTTGAAAGAAGTTTTATGAACATTATTTAAGAACCTTACTACTTTGTAGAATATTCACCTTCCGTTATCTTTTGTTCTGCCAGTCTTTAAATACTAATCTCAAGGTAATAAAGAAAGTATAAAAATGATCCCTTATATAGTCTCTCGTCACCTTTTTTTTCATTGTACATTGTAGAAATTGTTTCGCATTATGCACTTATAACACTTTTCGAAAAAGGAAAATAGGATCACTCGATTTGAAAACATTATACATTACGACTTAAAACAAATGCCTGATATCACTTTAAATCACCCAATTTATCGTTGCAATTATTATCATTAAGTAAATTTCAGAATCAATTGTATTTGTTGGACATTGGAGCAAAATGAAGATACGTGCTCTATTATCGTTAACGATTTAACCCTATGTGAAGCGTGGTCCTCTTCAAGAAAGTAAAATATAATACGCGTAATCGTGTAAAGGTAGTCGCGACTCGTTATACCCAACGCTGGATAAAACACTAATTAGATTTCATGAGGTTTTGTATTTTATGTGGAGGAAGAAACAAACGAAAAGGTCAATGTGTAAGAATGGTTGAGAGATGATTTAATAAAGAAGATTTACCGGTTCAAACAATTTATTATTATTCGGCTTAAAATGAGTCGAAAGATAAGCTAATCTACTTGACTATATTCGAAAAAAATGGTTGTGCTTAGAACAAATTTTATAGATTAAAAGGTAATACAAAAATATATTTAATTAGGACTAAAAAATCTATAATTACTCATATAAAAAAATGAAGAAATGACCAACATCGTGCCTGGTCGAAAATGTTTGTTGATATGTTAATTACATCGACATTTTTACCGATGTAGGGTTAAACAACAAAAGCAATTCAGATCGCATCAGTGTTAATTTTTTTTACAAAAATAAAAATTGCTGGCATCGTCTGCTTTTTCATCAGTTGTTTGGTTAAAATCGAAATTAAAAATAATTTAAAATAAAAAAGATTGTTGGGAAGATAAAATAATGTAGTCATCACTTCTGGGAACATTTATGATTATAACTTTCAGTCAAAAGATGAATCTGAACTGCAATTCATGAGATGCAAATCTATGAACGAAGCAAACACAAAATGGTCAATATTTTTGATACCTGTTTATTTCAACCTCTTCATAACATGCAAATCCTCATCAAATACAACTCGCGTTTCATCTAACGTCACGTATGATCAGTCATGTCCACGTCTACACTACTGTAAGCATTGTATTATTTATCGTTCCGAAGTGGACCACACGCCACGTGGTCGAACCGTTAACGTCGCAATAAAGCACGTTCCACCGCTCTTGCTTTAATGCCCAATAAACACACTTTGGTCTACCTAGAAAATGATTTGTGAATGTATCCAACTATATTTCTCAGCAAACAGTAGCCAGAGAGAGGTCAAAAAGTTCCTTTAACGACATAAATATATCTATGGTCACTATTCGATACGAAGAATAGGACGCGCTTTTAACGTCTTTAAAAAGACTGGCACACATGTGCCGGTTTAGTTCATTTTTAACTTACTAATATGTCGAGTGAGCAAATGTTTAAATCTGATGCAGAATTATTTATTACAGAATCACACATCAATACAACAAAAATCGCTGTACGGCAGCGCTAATAGCGTAATAGAGCGCTAATAGAGTATTCTACAATTCACTGTTTTGAAAATATTGTAATGTTACCTCTCATGTGTAAAGATTTTGTGATTATTTAAAGAATATCGTGAATAAAATACAAGCTATGTAAAATATTGTTTGTTTCAGTGATGGTGAAATTTCAGAAACGTAATTTGTATTGCTAATTATATTTTATAAGAAATTATAAATGTACACATGTGTGCACAGTTATTGTTTCGAGGAATAGTTTTCTCAAAATCGTGTTTGATTGAAGACTTTGCAAAAAACTATTGTAAACAATAAATAATTTTTCTGTTATATTAGTACTCAGATTATAAACATGTTATATTTGTGTGAAACATAAATTGTATACCCTATACGTACGAAATTTGTTCATTTATAATTTGCCAATATAACACTAGAAAGGACGTATGTAAACATTATTTGTTCTTTTTTGTACATCTATTGTTTTCTAGTTTTGTTTCTCATTAAATTGCAATCAATACAGCACGAATAAAATGTATCAAATCAGAAATATAAATAATTTCTTTTCGTTAAAAAAAAAAAAAAAATCGTTCCCGAAGAAGTTAAGTAATTCTTTTGTTACAATTCAGAGACATAAATAATATTATCTATTGAAAAATTAGACAGAATAGAAAATATATCCAAATTATTCGCATTATTATTGGCAGAATGAACTTTATGATTAACCAGAACACAAAAGCCACACTCTAACAAATTAGACGACGTAATATTAACTTAGGTATCTGAAGCATCTGGAGTTATGGCACGTAAAAGTTAACGAGCCTTTATAAGTGTTTTAAAAAGAACGATTACCTAGATCTATTGTTATTTTGTGATTTGTCGACATTGACACATTATACCACGTGTACCTTAAGCGATGTTTACTGTGATGAAGCGATTAAAGTCTTATGAGAGATAGTAGCTGCTTTTGGAATTTAATCCACAACTTGTCGCATAAGCCTAGTCATGGGTGTCTATTACGCAAAGTATTGGAATGATTAGGTGAAACTATTCTTGAGAATAGATGACACACATTTATCTTATGACGATATTACTACATTTCACGAATGGAAAATTTGTTTATGAATATTTATTCGGAACGTTTGCATTACGCACTGCTACTGGCTGTATTTACCTTTTCAAATCAATGAAATGTCCAAAACACTTTCTCGTATTCCCAAAAAACAAACGAAACAAGGCGTCTTTTTGTGGACTACAGAATACAAGGCCTTAAAAGGTAATTTCCTAACAAATTCATATCTGTGTAAGTACTTTTGTTCGTCACTGTATGATAACCGTCGTGTACTTTAGTCTTTTTCGTCGACGAAGAATCGAGAAACAAGCAAATGGCGCGTTTGGGGAAATTTTATTACGAATATTTATTCAGAACAGTTATTCACAACTGACTGTATTTACTAGAGATCACGGTTTTGAACGGGTATTAAAATACACGGGTACCCAGGTATTGAAATACACGGATATCCAGGTACGTACACGTGGATCGAAATACATGGGTACGCATACATCGAATTATACGGGTGCAGTATCCAATTAGTTTTATATATAAACTTTCATGCAAAAAACGCTTTCATTCTAAAATAATGATCCTTATTAATTTTGAAAAAATTGATAAGCAATAAAACAAATAAACACAAAAATATTAACATAAGAAGAATAAATATAACAGAATAAATGTGTGAGTGTAATTTGTAAAACTTTATTTATTAGTTAAAATAATTGTTCAAATCAATATGCGTACCCGTGTATTAAAAATACACGGATTAAAACACGGATCCATTAATTACCCGTGTAACCGGGTATTTCGATACACGTGAAGTAGGAATCTCTAGTATTTACGTTTTCGAACCAACGAAATGTCGAAAATATTGTTCCGTATTTTGAAAAAATAAAGGCGACAGGGCGTCTTCTTGCGGGTTCACCCTGTACGTGGCACAGTCGTCAGAACTAAATGCGTATTGTAGCAATTTGCGTATACGGGCACGAAGTGAAAATAAACGTTCTTGCTCGCGTTAGAATCGCGCGGAGCGGAGATGTCGGGGCTGAAAGTCGTATGAACGCAAAGATTTAAGTCGCGGCAATTTGTTCGGTAAGTACCCTGCATTCGTGTAGATTGATCGCCTCCAAATTGGGGCAGCGACGTGCCAGACATTTGACAGCCCTGTCCGTCAACTGGCGGCAGCCTCTGCACAGAAAGCTGCGGAGTTCTGGGCAGCCCCTCGCCAACGCCTCGACTCCCTTGTCGGTAAGCAATTCGCACCAGGACAGGTTGATGTGAGTGAGAAGCGGACAACCATCCGAGAGATCCTTCAGGGAGTTGTCCGTTATCTCGGGGCACGAGTCCAAGTTCAATCGTTGGAGTTTCGGACAGTGGCTGCTGAGAGCCGCGCAGGTGGCGTCTGAGATCTTTTTGCACTGGCTCAGGTTCAGCTCCTCGATATTGGGACATGACTGAGCCAACGTGCGCATGGAATTATTCCCGATGCTCTGGCATCCCCTGAGGGACAGCTGCCTCAGGAAACCGCCGCATCGTCTTGATATATTCTCTATAACTGATCCCTGCGTTTCGAACGGTTTGGTTAGACGTAGGCTTCAGACGCGAAGCTGTTCGAGATCCCGGTAATATACGAAGGATGAAAGACCTTAGCTGGAAGACATTTATACAGGGTGTTCCAGCCTAAGTGATACGGAGCTCTAACTACAAAACTATCGGCCGAATGCAAAATTTCAAATATAGAAATCGCATGGTAAAATGGGGCTCGTGTTTCAGCGAGAAGGAATTTTTGTTAACTTCGTTATTTCAAAAAATATCAAATGAGGATGAACCTTCCGCGTCACAAACATGACATCTTTACTCGAACACTTTTTGATTTTCATGAATGTTTTATGAATAAAAGTGGATATTAGCAATAAATAAGTCTATAATTGATGCAATAAAAAACTATTTAATATTAATGTTACAAAATAAAAGAAAAAAAGAACTGATCAACTTTCTTATTCTTTGTTCTATTTCACTTATCTCCATTATTTACGTTTTAAGATGATCTATTTTAACGCTGGAACGTATCCTCCGCATTAAGCAGGGTCTTACTGTAACTTGAAACTCCAATTTAATGTTTTATATTACAATAATTGACCATGTATGACCGATGAATTTGTCTAAACAATTGATATCACATTATTGATAAAAATATATAAGGTTTCGTTTAAAAAAATTAATTTGTTTGTGAAATCTACCACTTCACTTAGAATAAAATTATTAACTCCATATAACTTGTCCCTTTGAATCAAATAATTTTTATAAAATCATATTTTTGATAGCTTTATATTTAACCATTCCGATTTAAACGAAACACTCTGTACGTATAATTGTTACAATATTCGGTTCTTATAACTGTTTTGAAAATTGAATATCATAACTGAATTTATGTTATCAAACTCTTATTGCAAGTAGCTTCTTTAGGGAACAAATGACACAATATCGTTGTGTGAATATCTACAGAAATTTCTTAAAAAATTTTTCTTAAATTTTAATGTTCTTAATGTTCCTCAAAAACATTTAAAAGAAGAGATGACGAACCAGAAAGTTGTTCATGCTATTGCAATTAGGCTTCATTTAAGTAAAATCAAGCTCGAGGCACAGTTCACGATTGGCTCGTGGTCACCAAAAGAATTATTGTGTGATGGAACCTTAACAAAAATTGAAAGGAACGATCAAATTATATCGTGTCATTTGAACCCTGTAAGAATCTTGGAAGACACCGGCACCCTGGCTTACGTAGGGGATATTCCCGCCTCGCTATTTCCGGGATCCCAAACAGCTCTATTTCGAACTATCGTCGAGGACGGTTCTACGATTAACACATCACTTACTACGCGATTATCTAAGAGGTCTGCCAAGTTTAGAGGCGAAAAGAAATCGTTTCTTTTATTTACATTTTCAGAGAGATTCGAGTCTCATAAGCATTATCCTAGAGAGGTTGTTGCGAAATTCGAAAAATTGACAATTTTAAGGAATTTCTAGCTCAGCACAGTGGTTCCCAATCTTGTTTTCAATACGACACATTTAGATGAGGTTACATTTATACACTATACTTCCCCAGATAAGAGAATATACGTATTCTCTATAAGGTTTACATTGTTTAAATATAAAAGTCCATTTCAAAACGACTTTTTCGTATTGCAGTAAATATGTCACTATCATGAATACTACTGTGATAAAAAAAATTAGTAAGACTCTTCAAGTAAAACACAAACGGCTTTTTTAATTCTCCAAATTTATTTCCAAGTTTTTCGTTTGTAACTTGCACCAACCCCCAATTGAAACCATTCGTTTTTTTCTTTGGAGATACCGTAATTTTTTCAATTCTTGAATTTTTATACTCAGTTCGGTCCAAACGATAGCTATACCTATTGTTGGACACAATAAGGTTACTTCCAGTATATACAAATTTTTGTTATTGGTTACACCGTGCGTAATAGCGTATTACTTGTACAACATCAATTATTGATACCTAAACAAATTCGTACGGGTTAGAGAAACATAAATAAATATACGTAGAAGTTTAAAAATAATGTCATTGAATTTCTTACTTAAAAAAAAAAAAAAGTAATATGAAACTTAATTCTTAAGAATTCAAAAAATCACGCAGACCCCTCAGTCCTCTATTGCATGAGTTTTATTTTCTCTTTTGAAATAAAATTATTTCTATAAATTATACAACACTGCCTAAAGAAAATGTATAACTATACATTTCTACACCAGAAAATGTAATATATAAACCTCACCAAAATTTATATTCGGTATTACCGTAAGTGGCAGTTTTTATTCAAATCCAATTTTTTCAGATAAAATAAAACATTTTACCAAAATGTTCAGTGTTCATCATCAAAAGTAGTTCTGTTTCACTCACATTTTTGTGCGTAATATTTAGCGTTTCTTTAGCATCTTTTGATTTAAACATATACCAAAAATTGTCATTTTAACCATTGACTTAAGTCTACCGCTTAGGTTTTTTTTCAATTACAGCTGTTGACTGAGTGCCATCTATAAAATGCACTATTTAGGCAATATTAACCCTTTGCGCTCAAATTACGCCTCTAAGGCGACATGTGTAATTTCAAAGTGTTTTTTGAACGTACAATTTCAATTTTACTTACATCAGAATACAGCTAATTATTAATTAAAATAATAATACATTGAGTTAGAAATGGTCGTAGATGTTTCTTTTCAAAGTAGAGTTTTTGGTTTTACAGAAATTTACATTTGTTTTATATGTATACAACAAATATGAGCTTGTGTTACATGGAAAAAAATGTGTAAATAATCTACACCTTAAAAGAGCATTTGTATACGAAAGTAAGATTTGGGAACATATTTTGTATGACATGGTGCAATTTGTGAAGGTAAATAAGACAGCCTAAGATTGCAACTTAAAATATAGAAACTATCAATGCATATCTATGACTGTTTCACATGTTATCACACATTAGAATAGTATAAAATTTTGATTTTTCACATTAATATGTTCCTCAGTGTCTAAAGATACATATAAGCTCAAGTATCATTATAGTAAATTACATGCTTTATAAGTTACGTTATGTAATACGACATGACTTCTGTTTGGAGATTCTGTAAAGAAATGGCTCCGAGTGCAAAGTGTTAATAAACAAAATTTGTTGAACTTCCAAATACTTTGTGAATAAATGTAAAACGCTGTTTTCTACTTCATCGATATCACCCTTTTTTCACAGTTTTGATCAAAGTGTTCAGTTAAATGATAAATAACATTTTGCCAAAATGTTTTACTTTGTCTGAAACATTTCAATTTGAATAAATACCGCCACGATTTATGGTACAACTCAATATAAGGAACCGTGCTGTGATTGTCTTCACCGAGTTGCAGATTGGACACATTATGCAACAGAGGATTAAACAATTCCTATGAAACTCGACGTGGTCGTCTATCAATGCATCGTCTTGCAATCAGCGCGAGGAGCTCGCGACATCGCGGAGTGTAGCAAGCAATGCGTTAACGATTAGATTTACCTCCACATCTCGTTGGAAATCGAAGAGATCGATTCTCTGCCAATTGGATCCGTCTAGCGCCAATACATTCCAGGCTTTGCTTACTTGCGCGCACCGGCATAGCGACACCACATCCAGATACGAGAGAATTCTATCAATTGTACGGCAATCGTGTTACTCGCTATCGTCGAACGACCCGTTTAAAAATCTACTCGGATTACGACACACGAAAGAAAAAGAAAAATAGTAAATATTGCGCGCAAGAACAAGTCGGAGAATCACATGAAGCGTAATGTACGAATTTTAACGAAAACTTCGTAAGTGGGTGGATAGAAATCAGAGATTGGCTAAACTCTTGTCTACATACGAGTTCAGTACAGCAAATGAAAGATAAACAACTGTCTGTTACTCATTCGATTAACAATAGCTTTACGGAGGTTCAAAGTACAGTAGAGCCTCCTGTATCCGTACTAATTGGGAGACAAAAGTGGCCGAATAAGAGAATTTTCGGATAATTGAACGATCACTTCTTTTTTATATTAAATTTCAATTTATTCATAGAGAAACTAACAAAATTGACAATTTCTTTTTAATATTTAAGAAACCTATACTTTTTCGCTGCTAAGTCGCAAAATTGTTTCAATACAAGTAACTGTGTACAGTTACATTCTCTTTGTGTAAAAAATTACGTTTCAATTTTTTTTTCATTCATTTATTAATCGAACAAAAACTTTTATACGCAGTTCGAATAACAGAACATTTGGATAATAAAATATTTGGATATTAGTGTATTCGGATAATGGGGTACGGCCACAGTACGGAACTGTACTGTATTATACAGGCTGTTTCTTAATATTTAGGCGCTTTTTGGAGGCTGTGGTCCTGAAAACAGTACGAATCGAAAGGTCCTTTACCAATTTGCGAACTGCGGCTTCGTTATAGAGATATAATATACAGTGGGTGTAGAAAGTATTCGTACACCGATCAATTTCCAAAAAAACTATGTAAAATTGTAATTTATTAACTTATTTTTTTATAAACAACGACATTCTACATACTTCTCGGAAATCTCTAGAATAGATAGAGTAAAAAAAATAGCTATTTATGTAAATTGCGAAATTAACAAGAAAAAAACAATTAATCGATAGAAATATTGAAGCAATAAGTGCACAACTTAAGAATGAGTCTTAAGAATCGTACAAATACTTATTGCTTCTATACTTTTACCCACTTTTCGCATTTTTTTTTGTTAATTTCACAAATTATATTAACTAGTAAATGTTGTTTGGACTATATCTATCTTAGAGATTTCCGAGCATATGTAAAATATCATTGATTATAAAAAAAGAAGTTAAGAAACTACAATTTCACAGAAAAGTTTTTTTGTAAATTGATCGGTGTACGAATACATTCTACACCCACTCTAAGCAGTTGAAATTTACAAAGAGTAACTTCCCGCACGGGCAGTTTGAGTCCTTGTTAGCTGTTTGCGCGACCACTCATGTACACACCTACACAGGAGAAATACTCACCGATCCACACCCACTGCTTAAAAATGACCTAGGAGTCTGCAAAAGAATTTGCAGACTGGGCCAATGACCTCGTACTACCTGCCCTAAAGTTTCTCAGGTCATTTTCAAACAGTGAGTGTGCATCGGTGTGTATTTTTCCTGTGTGAGTGGGTCCATATACAGCCGCCCGAACAGCTGATCGACAGCTGATCGACGATCACACCTGCAAATTTTAATTGCCCATATCTCGATAACGAAGCTACAGTTTTCAAATTGATAAAGGACTTTTCGAATCGTACTGGTGTCAGGACATCACCCTCCAAACAACGGCTGCAAATTAAGAAACACCCTTTATGTCAGATGTCCATCAAATAATCACAAGAACTTTAAACATAAGAAATAGTATTACGATGTTTCCAAAGCAATGATTATCAAGTATCAGGTTGTTCGTGAAATAATTTTGTTTCTTTGTTCGCGCGCAAAAAGAAACATTTTTTTTTTAATATATAAATATTTTAATGAATTATATATTGACCATTTTTGTCCAATACCATTGGCCATCTCTCTGGTGATAGCATAATTCCACGTTTATAAAAGTTCTGATTTTTATCCAACAACAACTGAACCAACTGATTTTTGACATCATCATTTAAAGTAAGTGTTTTTCTATTTAAAAACATTTGTGGAGACTGGTACATATAAGATAAACAATTGCACTAAATCAACTAAAATTGTCAAGATATACCGGGTATTCGGTAACTGGTGGTACAATCGAAAAGGATGTGATTCGATATAAAAAAATAAGTCAAAAATATAGAATAACAATTTTTCATGTGAGGCTTTGTTTCCGAGAAAATCGACTTTGAAGTTTCATTTATGCAACCTAACAAAAAATATCGGCGCATATAAAATGTTTTTAAATCATTAGATGATAAATATTAATAAATAACAAAACATTCAACGAGTTTTATTTACGTTATACGCTTATGGCGCCTGCAGTGGCAAAAACTTGCAGTGAGACACTCTATAACCACCAATTACCGTCCCATTTGAAGAAATAATACAGCTATACAGTATTATTAACCCTGGTAGACAATTATATGCTTCATTGTCAAATTCGAATTGGAATATAAGACAGCTGTTGCTCAGCTCATTTGATATGGCATAGTCAGTGTACTAAAAATGTTTCCTCTTCGTATCCTGCTTTCCTGCTGCGAAATACAGATGTTAAATGAATGAAATAATTATTCTGTAAATGATGGCCAATTTACGCTTGCAACCAAACACAAGTTAAGTATTTTTGAATTTTCTATTGAACTACGAAGTTTCGTTAACACCCGGACTTCCACACTTCTTCTCTTATGTAAAGAGTTTCTGGATATGTTCAAGTTATTTTGAACATATTACTTTGTACGAATTAGAAGTAAAAAGTTTTCCAAAGAGGCTTTAAGATTTGATTTTTGATAAAACCCAAATGGTATGGAATATATTCGATTATTTTATTTTGAATATAAGTATCTAATTACAATTAAGAATAAACAATGATGTTTTAGATAATCACCACGATTACGCTGATAGTATTCTTACTAAAAAACAAAATCTTAAAGCCACTTTTAGTAAACTTTTTATTGAAACGCATTCATCGCCAACGATTTTAAAGTACGCTAATAGTTTAAACTAACGGTCACCAGTGACTATCGTGGCAGTCTATGGATTAAAATATGTTTGGTACACTTCACGTGGTTCTCTCGTTAATGTCGCGTAAAAAAGACTGAAATGTTAATGAAAAGAAGGGAAAAAACAAGATGTTTGTTGCTTACTGTACCTAAGCAGCAATTCTTTTGGCAGTTTCTTATTTATCTGCGCCTCGTCGTCATGAAACACCCATGTTAGCTGCAACCAAAAAAAGAAACAGATTCAAATAAACAAGGATTCTGTTCATTGGATGGAAGAGAAATTAGCCCGTGTTGAAACGTCAAAAAATCAAATTTTTGCTGTTGTACTTAAATGATGGTTTGTATGTAGTTCTAAGAATAAAATGTAAGTAGTTCTACTTGAAAATTCTAAGTATTATGGATTGTAGAATCGATATACCTAAGAGCTGTTCTGAAATAAGATTAAGTGATGTAAAACTTGAAAGACGTTTTTCTAAAAGTGACTCAAAAACATTAAGAGAGTGTCCTGATTCGATTCAAAAAATTTATTTTTTAAAAATTGAGTTTTCTAGATCAATTACTTCAGTTACGTGGGTGGCAATAAAACAGCTATAATAATTCACCGAATATTAGAAAGAGCTTTCACAAACGCTTTTGCTCTTAATTGCAATTGGACAGGAAGGAACAATACAGTTCCTATAAAAAAATTTAAACTTATAGAAGTAATAAAATGTAGGTAGAAAAATATAGAATCTAAATTTTCTTGTTTTTTTTTTTATGACATATTTTATAAAACACTTTCATAAGTAAAGTATATTTACTCTATTTACTCTATTAAGTCTAAAATTGTTTATTTAGAATCTCAGATTGTCTAAAAAGATCCAGCGAAAGAAATGTTCATAATTTGACAAATTTACAGAGTTATATACGCCTTTGTTGAATAGTGCGTCAAATATGTATGTCAATTATATTGGCGACGGTGACACAGCATTCGAAGTTGTCCTCGACTTGGATTCTTACGATGTAAACAAATTAGACTACATAGGTTACGTCCAAAAGAGAATGAAAGCGCATTGGATGTAAAATTAGTAGCAACCTGACGCAGTGATATCTCAAGAATCGTATTCGAATCGAGTTAAAATTTTGTATACATGTAAAATATACTATTGATACCTTAAAGATTACTATTTCTTTTTGACCACTAAAACTATAAACCCACCATTTTGTCAATTTTCTTTTAATATTTGTTCCCCATACGTTAACTACGTTTGTAACGAATAAAATAAAGTAATTTTTCTTTTGCACGGTAGATGCCAACCGCGTTAACATTCTGGGGTCCGTTTCATCTGACGTGACGTAGGATATTGTACATAAAAAGTTTCAAAAGTTTGTCAAGTACTTCGGCTCCAAGAAAGTCATGAAAATTGTCTCGGAACTGATAAAAATAAAAGAACACCCTCTCAAAGCAGCTTAGAAGCCTGTCTTATTGGTATTTTTTATGAGGGAGACAGTCGATCAAATTTTCCGTAATTCCGTATTTATTTAAAGTGTTAAAGGATTAAGCCACTCTAGAAGGCGAAAAAACAGGCTTTCTTGGGGATTTTTTTTTCAGAAAGACTACAAAACAAATCGAGATTACAAAACAAATCGAGATTACAAAAAAAGGGTGTTTACCATAGATATCAGTGACTGTATACAATCATTTTTTTGAAGCGATTAATTTCAACATGGCGGCTGTGCAGCGTTTTTTGCGATGACGTCTCCGTTTCTCCAGGGTCCACGGTCGGATATACAGCTCTTGTAATTTTTTAATTATCTTCTGAATTTAATCTATTACACTTCACTTCTGAAGTGAAAAGTGAAAAATGTGCCTACAAAATCGTCAGAAAATTGTTAATTGCAAATGAACTATGCAATATAAAAGAAAAACCCTACGTATTTCCATAGACAACGTATTGTTAAAGATTAATTCAAAATTTCAAGTGAATCGGTTGAAAATTGTCTGAGTTATGTTGTGGGCCAACTTGAAAAATGCAGTTTTGAGATAAACGCCTTTGAAGTTTTAAGTAGTAGAAACCTGCTCTAATCTGCGTTGTACTAAAATTCGAAAACCAAGTACTTAGAGATTTTTCCCGGCCATAATCTTTTGGGATATCATATTTCAAGTCCTAAGGGATCATTTAAAAGAAAAAGAAAAAATCAATTTTTCGAAAATTTCAGAGTGGCCTAACCTCTTAAGGATACATTAGATGCCTTATTACACTACTAAGTGTTGCTAAATTAATATGAACTTATAACCTTTCCGTACATTTTTAGCTTAATCTAACTCCTACCAGGGGTGCGAACTACAATTTATTATACATTCATTCTCTTTCTCTTTTCTTTTCTAAAATCTAATTAAAAGTCTCTCTGTCTTTTTCTGTAAATCTTCACATATCGTTTTTCACACGGTCAAATTTTCGTGCCCAGGCTAGTTTGGGCGCTGCAACGACATTTTAGCCTAATGATAACGCCAAACGAAAAAAAATGGCATGCGTGAGAGTACAAGGTGACCAACCTGCATGTAAGACTGCTTCATGGTAGTGACAGGATTGTTGTGAGTGTGCGATTGCGACGTGTAATAACCGGGCTGATGGTGATAATGGTGATGGTGTTGGTGATGATGATGATGATGATACGATGGATGCTGTTGTCTCCACCACTGACCACTTGCACCAGACTCCTCGACCGGTTGCACCCCTTGCCCGACCTGGCCCCCTCCTCCTACGCCCACGCGACTTACTTTTTTCTAAAACAACCATTATCATCGATCACGAGAACGATTTTCACGGTTCTTCCGGCAAGAACAATACCGATTTCGTAAACACCGTAATCTTTGTGTTTGTTAACAATTGATATGACAGCAACAGAAAGATATTGAAAATACAGTTATTTTTCGTTTATTGTCTAGAAACAGAGAGTACCAGTTAACATTAACAGTAGAATTATTGACGGTCAACGCATATGCATTTTAAATACTAGGATATTTTAGAAATTGGATGAAGAGTATACAGAGTGTCTCGTGTAAGGGGCTTGGAACATCAAAAAATGAAAAAAAAAAAAAATCAACATCAATCATTTTGCTCTTTTTTTTTAAATAAAATTTAAGCGATTCTGAACAATCCTACGCAAAGAAAATTGAATTTAGAGCACTAGAAGTGGTAAGAAAGTTTTTCAAAAAAAAAAGAAATTCCGCTTTTTTAAACAAAATGTCTTTTTTCTCACAAAAAAATTTTTGTACCACTTCTAGTGCTTCAAATTCAATTTTTATTGCGTAGAATTGTTCAGAATCGCTTAAATTTTAATTGAAAAAAATTTTTAAAAGAAAGTGATTTTTTTTCATTTTTTGATGTTCCGAGCTCCTTAAAGCGGAATGGTTCAGTACTTAATTAGAGGATGAAACTATCAAAAAAATATAATAAAGTAATTGTACATGGTGCTACAAGTCTGGTAGACCTACGCATTCTTATTTTTGTATATAAACTTGTAATTTCTATCACAAAAATGTTATTACAAAAGTTATTTGCTATAAAATGGCAAATTATGTCTATGGTGTAAATAATTTTTTCAGAAGTAAACTGGGTGGAGGAGATTTAATAAACAGATAACTTTTATTAAGTAGGACCTTGTTCATATTAAGGAAGGATTTGTTTAAACAAATTCGTCGATCTATATTAAATACTCATTAATTGTACCCAATATAAAGTCCCTTATTGAAGTTTGTTTTCGTTAGATTTAAGGGGAGAATTGCTTTCTCCGATCCAAAAATGCGGTTTCTTTATCATTTAAGGAAAAGGAATAATTATGCTCTGTCCTTGTGCGATCAATTGTCGGGCTACATTTAAATCTACTAAATAAAACCTCCAATCTAAGGTTCTATATTACAATAAATGACCACGTATAATAGGTCATTGAACTTGTCTAAACAAATTCTACTTTATTAAAAGTTAAAGGGTTCTATTAAAAAAAAAATTAATGTGTAACTTAAATCTCCCACATCACTTTACTTACAAAAAATTTGTTTACATCACATAATTTGCCCTTTTGTACCAAATAATTTGTGTACAAACAAATTTTTTTGATAGCTCTTCCCATTACGAGATACTTTACCATTCCGATATAAACGAAATACATTGTATAATTAGTTCCGTATTTCAATAAATGTCATAAAAAGTTGCGGCAAAACCATACTTAATAATTGAGTAGTTTTACTGGCTTCGTAGTTCTAGCGTTAACCGAAGATCAGTTGCTAAGTAATTCGCAATACATAGAGAATTCTGAATGACGAATAAAAAATACATGCATACTTTCTTTTTATCGGTTATTCGCTAAATAAAATTTAATGGTTGAATTACGTAATTATGCACTTGAATAAACATCGCTAATAAATCAGTGTACCGTATAGTTATTCGTCGTCTATTATTCAAATAAAATTCTTCCTATCTCTACCTGGGCATGCACCGATAGCTGTAAAATCGCAAGTGGCTGAAACTTCAAAGTGGTGCTGAACACATATAGTTATGTTAACACTAATGCAGTGCAAATGCAAATTACAGTGTTTTTTATTGTTCATTAAAGCGTTTCGATTTGAAACAATGGCCTGATTTACACCGAACAGTTGATACGCGTATTAAGAACTAAATTTGTATCAAATTTATTCATCAGACCAAACTAATACACGTATAAAATATTCTCAACGCGCTGTAAACGGTGATATACCTATGTTTCTAAAATTTGAAAAAAAAAAAAAGAAACTGTATTCGTATTAAAAAGTCTAACCTATGTAACTTAATACAATCGATGTAAACAAGAGCGTATCTAAGGCTTCTACGGTGTAAACTAGGGCAATGATTGCATGTAATTTTTTGATTACAGCTTCGACACTTCTCCAGATCTTTTTCAAAGAATTTATAATAAAACATTAATTGTATAATAAAGCAATGAGTGCAATTGTTTTGGTTTCGGTAGGAGATCAAAATTTTAATTAAAGAGATTATCATTGAATCATATCACTGTTTCTAATTAAAATACCATTGGTCTTCTTTTTAACGTTAACGTCTACGTAGTGACTAAATAACATCCATAAATGATGAATTCAAATCAATAAAATAGAATGTGATATTTGAAAAGAGGAATTTAATTTACACTATTAGCTGCGGCACTGATCTGCGCGCGGCACCGCTTTGAACTGTAATCAGCCGAGTTTTAAATTCTCAGCCACTCGAGTCGACGCCGATGAGTCGCTCAAGCTGAAGAAATATAAACACTCCATCTCTAATACATAATTTAACATTAAGCGAGAAATTGCAGTATCTCTTGTTGACGCGCGAATGTATTTTTTCTAAAACTAAGCGTACATTGTTTTTTCTTCCTATTTTGCTGTTTTCTGCGAGACTGTAATATTGAGTTCTCTAGTTTTTCGTTTCGTAATAGTTGGTGTCATATCAATTAATTTTTTAATCGCAAACAAGAAATATTTAACGAACATAAGTGGAAATGAAATATTCGTCGTTATAGACCGAGGTCAATTTTTATTAAATTTCACGAATTTTCTAAAATATTCTATAAAATAGAAACTTGTGCAATGTATCACATGTAATGCATATGACATCGAGATTAATATTATTATTAATAAATAGTTGTAGGGAAAAGTTGTACCGCTACTAAAACGTTTACTACAGAGTTTATGAAATTAATGATTATTTTATAAAAAAAATTATTGAGTGAACTGTAAACATACATGCAATGCGTTAATTAAATAACTAAGCATGACTATTTCATTAGTTGCACAATCATAACGTTTGTTTTATGTAGTAAAATCCGCTAAATCCATACGGAGCGAGTTGTTCATATTTATAATATTATTTAAGCAATTTCCATGCGATGTGTGCACATTTTTATATGGTTATCTTTATGGAAGTGTTATCAATGGATTCACGATTCTTTCTATTCGATCGATTATTTTTTTAATAAAATTCAAACAATAATTCTTAATTCGAGATGTGAATATGAACATAGAAGAATGTTCTCTATTAAAAAAAAAAACGGTCGGAAGATATCAAATGGGTTTGACACGATGTCGAAAAGAAGAAAAGCATTATTTTGGTCGAAAAATGGTATTTAGAAAATGTTTAAGTTCGAGTGTTACTTTTAATTACAGTTTTTATTAAATTTCAATAATTTCTCCATTTTCAGTAGTGATGAACATTTGAGAAACAATATAAAGTCAGCAGACATTGATATGAGACAAGCGATTTTTTAGCAACGTGCCACTAAATTCTTCGATCCGGCCCGCTGTGCGGTGTTGTTTTTTTCGTACTTTCTGTTAACTGGCGGGATTAGTTCGAAATTACCAATATATTCATTATCTCCTTGGTGTTACGCTTGAGACATTAGAGATGGCGCTTAAGAATTGATTTCTTTTTTTGCTCTAAATCCGAAATTAACCATTGTATTCCTTGTTTCAACATTGTCCATACTTCGGAAACATTAAATAATTGAAATAAGAACACAAGTTGTTACAAACACAAGTGGTCACGTCCGTAGACGCAACAAAAATCAATCGCGTTGCTATATTTTGTCCATTTTGCGCCAATCGGCCGGTTTTGTGCTTGCAATTCAAAAGAAAAATATTCACAGCAAACAATAGTTCTTTTATGTCTGTAAAAATGTAATTGCTAATTACAGTAATCAGTTTTTTAAATGTTATGACACGACAATATCTCATGTACCACCGGTGGCTGATCCCGTCGCAAACGTGATACATGATTTTCTATGGTATCGTTGTAAAAATACAACCTCTGCCTTCTAATTTATGCTAATTGCAATAGCGAAAAACACTTTTTTACTTTTTATAAACTCATGTAAATCTTATCCAATTTTCAAGACAAAGAGATTATCATCACCTTCTCTTTCATTCGTCAATGTAAAAGTTATGGGATATTTGAGCTGTTTATAAAGCTGAAATTAATCAGTTCTAGAAACCTAAATTTCGCTATCTCGATTACTCTGCGGCGCACCGCGTCGACGCCAAACAATATCTCAACGATTTCATTCACGAAATACATATACTATGGAGTGGAAACTGTGCAGATCGCTACTTATTTAGCAACAGGTATTGTTAATGAAGGGTACTATTCTATTCTCAGAGTATTTGAAGCAATGGGAATTGTTATTGGCCTAGAGGCGAAAAGTTTTGCAGACAAACCTGACCAATTAAGGAGGTACGGATTGCTCGCAAAATGGTTAATACTGCTTTACAAGAGTTTTATGAGGAAGAATAAGGTATACTTCATGACTCTGGAATAGCTTATTACCCGTATGTATTATTTATCACTTGTTAAATACTCTAAAAGAATACTCTAAAAGAACAGTCACTTGAAAAAGGCTTAGACATTTCCAAAAATGGCATTTATGTTTTGGAGTTTTGGTATTTTCTTGAATCATAATATTACAAGAATACTTCCAGTAAATTTGAAATTGATCCAACTAAAAACGACGAAGCTATGAAGCTCAACACACTATGTAGGCATGCACCATCAAAACTTCAAACGCATTTTTCTCGAAGCTGCACTTTCCAAATCGGCGAATACGATTTCTCTAAAACAGTTGAATCGATCCACTTCAAATTTTACAGGTTCGTTTAAGACAGTAATATATCCTACTCAATCGTTGTGTGTGGTTGATTTTTTTAACGTTCACTTTAGTTCTATGGAGGATATTAGTGCATTGTTTTTCGCGAAAAAAGCG